CCCCCCCCCCGCCAAACACCGCCCCGCCGCTCCCGCCCCTCCTTCGCGCCGGCCGCGAGACGGACTTTGCGGCGGACTCCGTTGAGAGTGTGAGCCCGCGGCGCGCGTGCGCCTGTCCGTTTATTGCCGGCGTCGGTATCCACGCGGTTTCGAAAACGGACGTGATTCAGATACGCGCGACCGCCTCCCTCGTCGCGGTGCCGCGTAACGCGAGCGCGCCGCGCCGTGTTGCGCGGGACAGCGCGGCAACGGGACGCTCGAAATCGGCGTCCGGATCCGGGCGCGGGCACGTTTTGTTCGAAAGCGTCCGGACACGGATACCAACTGTCTCATGACGCGTTTGAGAAAACGGACGATTTGTTTTGTAAACGTTTTATTCAGTACATTGAAAATATACAATTACGAAATTATAACGGAACACGTAGCGGGTACATAATCTGTGTTACGATCGTTTTCGTCAACGTTTTCACATAAAGTTGTAACGCGTATTTTATAACAATATTAAAATATCGGTAAACGTCCCTCAGTAAAAAAAAAAAAAAAAAACTATTAGTATTTAACATCAGTTAACTAATGTGATAAGCAGCTTTTCGGTAGGTGAACTATTACAGTAATTAGTTATATAATAGTTATTTATGTTGGTATACCCCACCACTATCCGCCGGCGCCATCCACAATTTACTATTTTTTAGAATTATTAAAAACCGAATTTCCACTAAAAATATCGTCGGGGTTATCGTTCTGACTATCGTACTATAGTATCGGCTGCTATTAAGAAGAAGTTCAGTTAGGTGTATAAAGTTCCCGTTCCTTAGAAAAGCCCGCAATTCCGAGGTGTATGACGTCATACAACAATATCATGACGTTTATGTAATATTTTTGAAATTAACCCCACCTCAACCCCCACACATACATACTTGCCTCCTCGCTGAATCAAATACGGATAAACTATTCAGACATTCAGACACTCGAGATCAATAAAACCCTGTCCATTATTCATAGGTGTCTATCAGTACCGTAACAAATTTTTTTTTTTTTTTGGGAGGGGTACTTATGATTGTTATGTTATCACTACGATAAAAAATACACCAAAGTAACCAAGAAACAAAAAGAAGGGGTTCGTGTTCCCCCTCACTCTTCCTTAGCCACTGGTGTTCACTATTCAAAGGAGGTTAAAATTCCCATTCCCAAAAATTTCGAGATTTCGAGATATCACTGTAAATAGGATTATGATATTTTGACCTAACAACTAATACAGTCATAAAATTCAACTTTTCAACAATTAGGTTGGTAGCTTAGCGGATAAGATGTTAGGTTAGGTTAGGCGGCGTCGCGGGTTCAGTTCCAGGTGGCGACAGACATTGCAGCACAGTTTTACGCAATTTTACGTTTTATTTTTGTGAATTTTGTCGAACCGCAATAGTAGGAATTCTGTCTGAAAAAGTATCTCGGATACTGTCTTTGAGGTACACAATAATGTTACATGTCGGATTAGGTCGGGTCGAGTAGCCCGACCTAACCTAACGGATACATTCGGTCAGGCAACGCTTCGGCTTGTCACAAAACACTTGGTGCAAAAAATGTATCTGGACGTCGCGCGTGCGGATGTATCGCACGCGCCGCGTCGGTATCGACGGCGACACGTGTACAAGTTTCGTGGCCCGCGGCGACAACAGCAAACCCGGCGGCGACGAACACGAACCTCCGGCAACGCGTTGCGCCGCGGTACCCCGGAGGAGTCGCGAACCCCCCCCCGCCCCCCCCGCGTGCGCACCGCGACGACGCGGTCACGGCGTTTCCGATTCCGCGGCGGGCAGACGGGATGTTATCTCGGTACGCGCGACAATCCAACAGCGTTGCCGGCCGGCGCACTTCTCCGAACGAAATCCAATAATTAATAACCGTTTTATAACCGGAACGCGATTGATTTTTTCTCTCTCTCTCTCTCTCTCGGCCCATTACGGCCGTAAACGCCATTGCGTACGACGCGTATTGTGTTTTTACCGCGCGCACATCCGGCCCGACGATACCGCACCGCCCGTGTACGGTACCGCGGCGAGCGGCACATCCGCGAGACGGTGTCGCCGTACACCGCCGAGACCCGGTTCGCGGCTCTCGTCCCGCGCGCGTGTATCGCGATCGTACGCGCGGCGATGTTTTACCCGGTCCGCAATCGTTCCGGCGTTCGCGATCGCGTTCCTGCACCGCGGGACGGTCGTCGTCGTCGTCGATTATATTGCCGGTCGCGGTCTTTCGCCCGGCGGCGCGAAACGGAAAACTCTCCGGGCGCGCTGACTTCGGGACCGGCGAAAACGGCGGACACGCCAAAGGACCTGCGGTGTATTGTTTACGTTTCTGACCCCTCCGGAATGCCGGGATAGACAATAATAAAGAACGGTAATATCGGAAAAAAAAAAATAAAAGGACGGACGTACTTGGCACGTGCTCGGTGCAACCGCTTTTGTAGGCGGGAAGTGGGTCGCGTAGGGTACAGACGGGAATTTAATGCACACCCGTATGAGCGACGGGTAAACCGGTGCTAACGAAAAACCGATTCTGAGCGGAGTTCAGTTGATAGTTGACGCCTTGTCAACGACAAACATGCCGTATTACGGTCGAATGGGGTTACACATTTATAATATCGACAATATCCGTTTAATATTGTACAATTATATTCCCGTTGTGCCCGGTTTATTCCAATTTGTCATCGGGAAATCTCCTGGGAAAATCAAAACAAAACGACCTCTCCAAAGTACCACCCCGGTCAGATTTCCTCGCGGGAAAAACGCTACGCTGGAAAGTCGGAGCGAAAAGAAAAGTTTTTTTTATTGCAGAAAAAACGAAACAAAACAACACGACTCCATTGCAAATCCAAAATACGTTCCTCGCCGCGTTCAGAATCGGAAAACCGTTTTTGTTTTCGACACGTACCGCGGCGTCGACGGCGATGACGGGACGGTACGTGCGCCGCGGCGGCGTTTATAGCCGCAACAGAACAACAATACTGATAATTGTGATTATTGTAAGTAACACCGGCCGGGTTCGGAAGCGCGCCAAGCGTTTTTTTTTTTTTTTTAAAATAATATTATTACTCTCGGCTCGTCTCCCGGCCTTCGGCGCGCGTTCCGCGCAGTATTGGACGCCGTCCACGAACGCCGCGCGCGATCGTTTCGCACACGTGCGCGCGTATTGTACGCCACGCACCTTATTTTACACGCACGACGCCCGCGCGTCGATGCGCGCCCACGTCGCAACATCATACACGGTGTACGGTGTGCGCGCGCGGCGCGTCGTCCGGAAGGCGAACGCGTAAATCGTCGCGAAACGATTTCGCGTCGGCGACGAAGAACGGAAAACAGAAAATGAACACGAACCGATAAACACGGAACGCCGCCGAGACGAAACGACGGACGGTGATAACAACAATAGCAATAATAACCGAAACGGCGGTTTTCGTTTTCTTCTCGATTTTACTCTCGCGGCCCGGCGGCGTACGCGCGGCGTCTCGCCGTTTTTCCCGACCACGCCGCGTACAAGTCGGCGACCGGCGACGACGACAATAAAAACACACGCGCCGGTAAAACACGCGGAACAGCGCGCTATAATATGACGGCGTCGACGGGCGCGTGATTCGTCGAACGGCAATTGATAGATCGCTCGTGTCGCGGCATGGGCATCAAACGCGTCGGGCGCATATTATACGCGCTCGCGTTTCCCGCCGCCCCCTCCGCGTGAACGCGACGAAAATGTCGTTTCGGGTTAACCGAATATACATGTATACAGAACGGCGACACGGGACGGCGGCGACACGGGACGGCGGCGACACGGGACGGCGGCGGCGGGAAAACTGGGCTTTTCGCCCGCATCGCGATACTTATTGCTGTCGGTTATTGCGGCGCGCGACGCATACGGTACCGTAGTTCCGTCGTCCCGTCTCCGG